TGTGTTGCTGCTATGTTTTATTAGGCGAGTATTATATATCTGCTGCTTGTAAGGACATGTTTTTTTTTTAGGGGTGCACTCTTTTCTCTATATACCTTATACGAGGAGGGGTTTTTAATGAGGCTTCTCATTATATTATTCTTGAGAATTTGTATTGTTATTTACTCGTTTTTGTAGGAAACCTAAAGGTTCTAAAGAAGACCTCCCTCTAGAGGCAATCAAATGTTGAACCCTCAAGTAGGATCCTAGCCACCCTTAAAGGCAATCAAAATGTTGGATCCCTAAGAGGGATCCATTCCGCCCTTAGAGGCAATCCAAACACTGGATCCTTAAGATGGATCCTTGTCGCCCTTAGAGGCAATTAAAATGATGTATCATCACGATGGATCATTGTCGCCCTTAGAGGCAATCAAAATACTGGATAACTAAGATGGATCCTTGTCTCCCTTAGAGACAATCTAATGTTGGATCCTTGTCGCCCTTAAAGGAAATCAAAATGATAGATGCCTAAGAGGGATCCTTGCTGCCCTTATAGACAATCAAATGTTGGATCCTTAAGTAGGATCCTTGTCGCCTTTGGAGAAAATTAAAATGCTAGATCCTCAAGTAGGATCGTTGTCGCCCTTTGAGGCAACCAAAACCAACCATTGTAACCATTAATACAAAAACCATACTAAAGAAACATGCCCCCTCTGGTGACCGATGTCTTGGGCCCCCTTTGCAATAAGTCATTTTTCCTAAATATCAGTCAAGAATAAAATACAAGCATAAATAGGGGCTCTACAAATAAGAGTAACATTCAAAAGGAAGTTAACAACTTAAATATTTCAAAAAAGGGATATTACAAGAATGTCAAAACACATGAGATTACTTTTCATCCCCCATCCCACCATCTCAAACCACCTAGAACATGCCCATCTAACTCAAGTCCATGTTCGGGTGAAAGAATGCTGCTTGTCTTTTCGCCCTTTCAAAATGATGGGTAGAGGTACCTGCAATCACATCCTTGAGCGACGAGGCCCCCCCTCTTGAACTTTTATAGAGCTAAGAGCTTCCTTGAGTGATTACTCTAGACGTTTCCCCTCTTTAAGCTGAGCTAAAGGTGCGATAACCACTTCCTTGGCGTGCGTCTTCAAAGCATATCGTTCATCTCTCAGATCCCCTACCATCTTTTAGTGTTCTTGAAAGTTTCTTATAACAAGGTTCTTCATGGAATGTAACTCTTAGATAGTATGAAAGTGTTTCTAATTCTAGGATCTCTCTAATATAAGACACCACAACAATTGAACCTCTAGCAAGTTCGCTAAATGGATGAAAGATTTGCCAAGAAGTGACTGGTAATCACCAGGAAAACTCTTCGATATGGAGAGGTGGAACTTGGAGAACTCCATAGAGTTAAAAAATGGTAGTATTCCATAATGAAGTCCAGGAGGAACAAATGCACCAACGCAGGATGTTTCACATTGTCGTTTTCCAATAGCAGTAGTTAAATCATTTGGGAAAGAGCGGGAGCAAGGCCTCTAGTTGTAGTGTCGCTTGCATCTAATCAAAAGGTTTATCTCATCTTACCAAGCGAAATTCCAGTCATGTCCTCTGCAAAAAGGGGGTGCAATAATGCATATAAAATACTCCCTCTGGTCCTATTTATAAGAGACAATTAATTTTTTTTTAAATTCATTGAATAATCAATTTATATGGTATTTGATACAGTCCAAATACATATATTATTCAATGAACTTGAAAAGTAAATTTTCTCTTATAAATAGGACCAGAGGTAGTAATAAACAGGGATCAAGGCATAAGGTTCTTATCATACCATAAAGCTTATCCAATCACTTCTCTACCCTATCACCATCTTCTCTATCCTAGGTAATTAGAGTACAAGAGTTTGGAGGCCGAAAGCAACTCAAGATATGCACCATCTCTTGCTCAATACGGGGAAGGGAGCTAGAATATATCATTTTCATAAGCTGAGGATCTTGAGTCCATGATAAAGGAAAGTGAAGGGCACCCATCGTTCCTGTGGTCACCAGATCGTTGCCTCGCCCTTCACCCGCACGAACCTATCTTTCCAATTCTCATAAGAGTACACAATGTTATCCAACCACTGTTGGGGAGAATCTCTCTGCTAAAGAAATATAGGAACACCCAAATAGTGGGAGGGGGAAGGAAGGTTACAACATATTATCTGGAAGACCCTAAGGATACTTCATATGTTTGGAGTGATATGGGAATGATCGGCGTTAATAGTTGTCAAAACTTCTGCCTTAAAAGAATTGAAAGGGATCAAAACCCATAGCTCGTGGATGATGGGAATGTAAAAATAAAAATAGGGAGCAAATGACTCTCCATCAATGTTCATGTTGCTCTCTCCATTTCTAACTAGGGTTCCAGGATCAAGTCCTCTTCACGCCATGTACTAGAAAACCCAATACCATGACGAAACATACTAATCATGCCAGAGTTGGAGTATAGGGATACAATGTCTCAAACGTGAACACACTTGATTTTTTTCCTAGCCATTAGCTTCCAGTGAAAGGAAGGTGAAGGAGGAAAAATAACAGCATTTATGCCTTAGGAGAAAGAACGAATATCATAACCGTTTTTCTTTTCCTTCTCTAAAGCTTTCCTAGTCCTTTATATTTTTTTCGAGGAAGCAAAAATGAAAACTCTACAAGAAAAGGGAAATAAAAGATTTCCCTAAGAAATATATCAGTTTCTTGTATAAAAATTTCAACAACACAAGCAACGTATCCATTCAATGGAGTAACTATCGCGGTGAGTGGAAATGTTCCTACACATTGAGGATGCATGTAATAAAAAAGGTTGGATTGGTTTTCCCTAGGAAAACCATCATGAGTTACATTAAATGCCAACCACGTTCCTCTTTCACTAAGCATTTGAGCTTTCATGATTGGCTGATGTTTTAACGTCTATAAGGAGAGGCTTAATGTATCTCACTAACACTCTGTCTACCCAGGAGACATCTGGTCAAGAGGTGATGACTCACCCCTAACTAAGGGGTTCACTTCCAATTAAAGGAGCCGCCTTTATCTAAGGGACTCTATCCAAGATGAGGGACTTAACTCCCATTAAAGGACTCGCCTTTAACTTAGTGACTCTCCCCTTGTATATGAACTCATCCCCAACTGAAAGACTCACCCTTGACCACAAAGCTCAACCCGAGGAAAGTCTGAAAACACTTTTTTCCTTTACAAGCTCTCGTGCTTAAGAGACTGTGTAGTGATATATTTGTGAGAAACTCAAATAAGGGAAACACATGGGTTCCCGCCTCGTAAAGTATTGCCTAAACGTGACCTTTACGTGACATGGGAGACTCTCCATCAAGAAAGATGTGTATAATATCGTTACCCATGCATTAACTACACAGACTAAGTCACACCATGACTCCCTAGAAAATAGGCAGTCAACAGTCTTCCCCGGTTAAAAAGGAGCATATACCACCTCTTAGGGTTTCTTGAACTTCTAGCCTGAAGCCTATATAAATACTCTAACCCTAGGGATTGGGGGACAGATCGTTACACCCTCAGTATACACGCATAATACAGAGCTCCTCACCTCATGTGAGCTTGCTATCTCATAGGCAAAGAGCATCACCAAACAAGACCTCTCACCACCATGGGCAAGCCCTAATCACCTTTAAAATACAAAGACCTTTGATTACTCGTATATATTAGGGGTGTTCGCGGGTCGGTTTGATGCGTTTTCAAGAGAATCTGATATTTAAATCGATCAAAAATATATGATTGATTTGGATTGGATTTGCACATTTTTTTCGATAAGACCCAAATTGAACCAAACCAAAAAAAAAAATTGGTTGGTTTAGGTTGGATTTATTGGATATATTAGAAACAAATATGCAAAAATGTTATTAAAAAATATCCTACTTTTATTGATTAATTTTTTATAATAATATACAATTCTTAATTCTTTTTTTCCATATAGTTGTGAATGTCACAAATGACAGTTCATTTTTTTTCTTGTTGAAGTTAAATATCTTATACTAATTTCTATGATAATGGTGATATAAAATATATAAATGAATATGTTGGTTTGGGTAGGCGGGTAGAATTTTTAAAATCCGTTGTCCGAACCAATTAACATCGGTTTTCATTGGTTTGGATCGATTTTTGCCAAAACTAAAAAAAATAACGAACCCAAACACCATCGCGTGATTTGAATTTCGGTTTAATTCAGATTTTCTCGAATCAATGAACATCCCTAGTTTGTGTGTGTGTCTCTCTCTCTCTCTCTCTCTCTCTCTCTCTCTCTCTCTCTCTCTCTCTATCTATCTATCTATCTATCTATCTATCTATCTATCTATCTATCTATATCTATATCTATATATATATATATATATATATATATATATATATATATATATATATATATATATATATATATATATATATATATATATATATATATATATATATATATATATATATATATATATATATAACCATTATTCCAAGATAAAGAATTATAATATATACTTTTATTTACTAAATTACAAGTATTACAATTTTTTATCTATATTAAATTTGATTTATGATTGATATTTTATTACCATTTTTCATTTTTTTTACTTTTGAGGAGAGATAATTAAACATAGTTTAATTATTGTTTTATGACAAGTTGTTAATTTTTTAAATATAATTCACAGCAAATATGCTAAGAAATCATAAAATACTTCTAAAAGTTTGACAAAAAATCTTATAATAAAAGGAGATGGAAATTTTTCAAAAGAATCGTATATTATACTATATAGTTTACATTTATATATTTCAATCTTTGACTACACCATTTTGATTTACTAGTACTTTCTATGACATGTTTGATATCCTAAATTAAGACTCTTTTCAATTCAAACTCCATTTAACGGGTCAAAAGTTTGTTGTTTAAATTATAATTTAGATCTGATTTCTGAATCAAAAGAAAGAGTTTTGCAGTTGCAGGGAGAGAAGTGGATATCAACCATGTCACGGGTTGTAATTTCAATATTGTTAGTTATATTTACGGTGGCAACTCCTGTCACTGAAGCAAAGAAGTGTAGTTTCCCAGCCATATTCAACTTCGGAGATTCAAATTCTGATACAGGTGGTCTCTCTGCAGCTTTCGGACAAGCTCCTCCGCCTAACGGAATCACTTTTTTTCACACGCCTGTCGGACGCTTCTCCGATGGTCGTCTCATCGTTGATTTCATAGGTAAGCTTAAGATATTATCATAATGTTGTTCATTCCTTTTTGACACGTCTCTGTTATCTATCTATTGTGCGTGTGTACAAATACCTTTGGAGCACCAAAAACTTTTTTCTACTCTATTATCTCTTATATTCAACGTGTGTCAGTGTCATACAAGACTCTCACATGTCAGTACTAGTATCGCGTCCTTAACAATAAATAAACTTTTTTTCACTTCTTGATTAGGGTTGAAAATGAGTCGAGTCGAACTCATCTCGGCTCGACTCGTTAAGAATTGTTCGAGTTCGAGTTTAACCCGAAATTTTTTTTAAGGTCAAACTCGACTCGTTATAAGTTCACAAACAGTTAGGTTCAACTCGTTAGGTTCAACTCGTTATAAGTTCACGAACAGTTAGGTTCAACTCGTTAGGCTCAACTCGTTAGGTTCATCTCATTAGATTCAGCTCATTAGGTTCATCTCATTAGATTCAGCTCATTAGGTTCAGCTTATTAGGTTCAGCTCACATGATTCACGGGCTTAAAAACTATTTTTTAAAATATATATATTTTTTAGTATATTTGACATTTTAAATAAATATATTTTTTTAAAATAAAATATTAAAATAAAATAAAAGTTATCCTATTGAAATTTAACTTTATCTTCGAAATCTACTAATTCAAAATCTACATAACTTTCAAGAGATACATTTGAGAGTCTAATTCAAAAACTACTAAATTGAAGATTAAATTTGTCTAAGATTTGAAGTAAATATTTAAACCTAATCTTATTATAATTCTTTTCATATGTAATCGAGTTGACTCATGAACCTAACGAGTCGAACTATGTATAGTTCAAGTTCAGCTCATTTAGTTAACGAACTTAGTTTTTTGCTCATACTCAGCTCATTTGGTTCATGAACCTAGTTCAACGATTTAATTGTCGAATTGAATTCCGAACTATTTTCGAGTTGATTCGGTTCATTGCCAGCCCGATCCTTGATAGTAAAATTTAAACTCAACAGCACAGGACTTGGGATTGCCTTATTTAAGTGCCTACTTGGACTCTATTGGTTCAAATTTCAGCAGTGGAGCCAATTTTGCAACAGCAGGATCAACCATCAGACCTCAAAATACAACCAGGTCTCAAAGTGGATACAGTCCCATTTCACTAGATGTTCAACTTGTTCAATACTCTGAATTCAAAACAAGATCCATAAATGTTCGCAAAAAAGGTACACACATTCACATAATATCCTCTAAAAAATATTGTACACATGAGTAACTATAGGTATAATTTTAATTTGTTACAGAAGGGTTGTTTAAGAAATTATTGCCCAATGAGGAGTATTTTTCTAAGGCTTTATACACTTTTGATATTGGCCAAAACGATATCACTGCTGGCTACAAACTCAACATGACTACAGAACAAATCAAAGCCTATATACCTGATGTACTAAACCAGTTCTCTAGTGTCATAAGGGTAACAAACTCATTTAACTTAATCATCAAACCTTAAGCATTTGGAAATTTTTGAAAATTTTACTCAACAGTTTTGTCATTTAGTAGAGCGTGTATAAGGAAGGTGGAAGATCGTTTTGGGTACACAACACAGGCCCATTGGGCTGTCTTCCATACATGCTGGATCGATCTCCGATGAGCTCGGCCGACATGGATGATTTCGGGTGCGCCAAACCGTTCAACGAGATAGCCCAATATTTTAACCAAAAACTGAAAGAAGCTGTTGTGAAATTGAGAGAAGAGCTTCAAGAGGCTACAATTGTATATGTTGATGTGTACAAAGTGAAGTACGCGCTCATTAGCCATGCCCGAAAATACGGTGAGCAATGAAAATTATTCAGAGTATTAGATTGATGTAAAATTGAAATGTGTAATGATGTAAAAATTGTTTGGAATTGAAAGGTTTTGAGAAGGGTGTGATTGCATGCTGTGGAAAAGGTGGGAAGTACAATTTCAATAATGTAGCAAGATGTGGAGCTACAAAGATTGTGAATGGGAAAAAGATTTTGATAGCTAAATCTTGCAAAGATCCAAGTGTGAGGATTATTTGGGATGGGATTCATTACACTGAAGCTGCTAATAACTGGATATTCCAACAAATAGTTAATGGAAACTTTTCAGATCCACCTGTCTCTTTAAAAATGGCTTGCCATGACCAATTATGAATCCATCCTAAATTCTTGAACACGAGAAGATTCAAATTCACTTGTGTACTTGAGAATTTTATTTGTGTGCTTAAACTCAGCCTGTTTGATAAATGGTTCTATGTATTATGATGAAAACATTTTTCGTACGAGTTTAAACTAATTCATATGACAACAAAAATTTGTGGTTTGGATAAGATTTATAGGTTTAAAATTTGTGTGTTAGGATGAAAGTTTTGTGCTAGCCATGACTTTTAAAATAAGGAGTTCATGGAGGTTTTCACAACTAAAAATGTAGTAGTAATACATAGATCAACTTGTATTACAAACACTAGCATACCCTGATAATAATTGAAATTTATATGATTTTCATCACATTTAGATTTACGTGATAATATCGACGAGAAACTCGTAAACTTCAATTAACAAAGAAAAAAGTGTTCACAAATAGTTATTTGATAGTGTTTTTTATTTATAAATTATATGGATCTAATCAGGAAGAATCTTAAAAATCCTACTCTCTAATCTTATTTATAAAAAATAATAATAATAATAACACTCTTTTTAACACAATTTATCTATTGGATGAAATACATATGGATTCTACATTTCTAAAGTGAATTTTTCATCTAATGAGTATTTGAGAATATGTTAAAAAGAGAGTGTATCTAACACTCCTCTCCATGAGAAAAAAAAAATCTTCCCAATTTTTTAACTTTAAATATAAACAAAATTTATATACACATTTAATGTATTTGTTTCAAAATCATCCTTATACTAATTACTAATTATTATCTCCATCTCAAAATAATGAACGAAGGAAAAATATAACAATTTTATAAAATTATTCTTAATTACACATAGATTATTATAAATAAACAGTGAAATTTAATAACTTGAGAGTAGGGTGGCAAAACGAGTTTGTTTTGTCTACATTTTAGTGCGGGACGAACAAAAAATTTAGACTCGCATCCTCTATTGTGTTTGCCTCCGTCTTGCTCCATTATTTTTTGCGTACTTTTGCGAGCACAAACATTACATAATTTTTTATTTATTTTTAGATTTAAAATTTACAATGTCTGCGGACCCTCCCAACTCTGCCCTCACTTAGACTCACACCTTCAACTATGTTTATCTTGTTCCAATCTCTTTTTTTGCGGGAATGATCTAGATAGGGTAGAAATGTTCGTTTGTCATCCTATTTTAGAGTAGTACAGACAATATAATTATAGATAAAACTAATTAATGTTCCATTGAAAAAATAAAACAGCGAACAAATTTTTTAAACTAAAAATACACTTATTTTAAAATAAAAGGAATATATTATAAGAAGAAGGTATATTAATAATTATATTAGTTTTTTATATAAAAAAATTAACTCTGTTGTTAATAAATATGAAATTTAGCTATTAACTAGATATGACTATCATTCGGCGTATTCAATTTCAAATTCACATTTTTTAAATAAGAGTTGAAATTTTATGTACTTGCTAATGTTTTAGAAAGTGTTAGCATTTTTTTAAAGATAAAGTAATAATAATTGAGAATTTTGTATCCTACCTCATGAGTTTTTTTTCCACCATATGGTTTTCCATAAATGTTCGCAGATTTTGGAAATACATCTCTGGAAGCGCTCTACGGCTTAATAATCTTCCGGAGATATGTCTCCGGAACAACTTAAACCTTAAACGGTCACAACATATCTCCCATAGTCCATTTTCATTTGATTTTGTTCAGAGATGCATTTACGGAAATTTTCTGGAGATACATCTCCGAAGTTATTCAGAACAGGTTTTTTTTATTGCGCATTGTGTATTTGTTTGCAAATGAATTATAAAATAACAGACACACCAAAATAACGTAACACTATAGTAATATGATGTCATACAAGACTTAAGGCGAAAATGTAATAACAATGTCAGAAAAAACGTACAAGTTACAATACTGAAACAAAATAAATATAAACAACTATTGGGTGTGTCTAACAACCTCTCATCTGCCACCTTTGCTTCCTCTTCTTGGTATGCATCCTCGGACATCGATACCCCCTATCCTCGTGTGATGTCTGCAGTACAAAAGTGTCCCATGTGCCTCCGCAATAATGTCATCAAGTACTCGCCTGATAACAGATCCCTCAGGAAAGATACCCTCATTAATGTCTGCCCTTGTCATCTCCATTATGCGAAGACAACGAGGCAACACATCCTCAGTATGATCTAGCTGAGCCTGCTCCTCCTCTAGAATCTCCTGATGAGCAGGTCTCGACGGATCTCCTGGAGCAGGCGGCACCATGTACGGATGTGAGACCCTAAAGAACCACCTGATGTATCTGTCGATGTAGCTCCAGTCATCCAGCGCTATGGTAACCCAAGCCTCGTTCGGTACCAAATGACTTTGATAATCAAGAAACATCTCCTTTATCTGTATACGAGTCAAGGCCGGAGGTGCAGAGACAACAGGGTGTCTGGGTGTACCCAAACTACCGCATGAGGCGCTTGGGAAGATGAGGAGTAGTGACCGTCGACGAGCAGGCCAACCATCCAGAGTATAGCGATATGTCGTCAAATGGACGCGTCTAACGGTAATCCATGTAGTTGTTGAAGTGGACGTCCTTAGAAACTAAGTGGTCAAGATAGACTCTGAAAGGCTCGACCGGCTGGTTCCCTCTCAGCGGGATAAAAGCACAGGCATTGGGCATCTCCTAAGTGTACTTATCCTAACACGACCAGCCAGCGATGCATGGGAAATGCTGGAGTATCCAAGCCTGAAATGAAAATAAAAAATCATCCAGGGATCAAGAATTATCGCAAATATGAAATGAAAAAGATAAGAAACAATCAAGGATAAACAAATTATTACCACCAGTAGGGTCGTGCTACCTGCGATCTGCCTCGTCGTCCACCGTCATCCATCTCTCAACTTCGAATATAGATAGGCCAAGCAAGCAGCCCCAGTTGCACTTAGGGATCCGTGTGAGATCTAAGAAGTACCGAAGGTATGCAACATCAGTATAGGTGGCACTCGTGTCCACAAAAGCACAATGCCAACTAAAAATAGAAAATAACACCTCAAAGCATGACTCTTGTGGATCTCCATCTATTGGGCATCACCATCAGCCTGCGCTGCAGAAACGAGCACCTCATTAAATCTCTCCTTCGAGAATGAAAACCTAACATGACTACCCCCAGTACTATCCACCTCCCTTAGCACCTTCACTAGACCAGCCCACAGATGCTCCACCATCATATCAACCGCCTCGTCTTTGGCCATCCTACCATGATGGAGAAATGTCCCTCTGATCGGTAGATGCAACAAACATGAGACTTCGTCTAGTGTAAACGACATCTCACAGTGCAGGATATGAAAGGAAGAGGTCTCAGAGTGCCATCGCTCCACGAATGCTCCCATCATCCCGTGGTTGACCAAAGTGAAACTGGTCAAGCATATGTCACTTAAACCAGAAGCATTGAGAATCGACTAAAACCATTCAGCATCAGGCTGATGCAATGCTAAGAACTTTCGTCTATGGTTCAGAAACTTCTGGGGATCACGGACCTGCGAATTTCCAAAAATAATCAATGTCAGCAAGAATAAATGTTAAAAATAATCAAAGTCAATAATTTAAATTAATGTAAAAAAATATAGTAACAATGTGACTAATGTTACCTCTTTGTCCTAAATATATCAGGCAGTGTGGTCTAGGTATAAAGGAAGTAGAGACATATCAGATGGACCCCCTCCGAACTCCTCTGGCTCGACATTAGCAACATCACCCTTCGAACGTAGCGCTGATGCATCACAATCAACATGTGTGACCAAGTCAACAAGAGGTGGCACCAGATCAGCAGGAGGTGGAATAGGTGCATCTCACTGCCTGCGGGAGGATGAAGGAAATGACGCGTCAACTGATGCATCTTGTGGTCTGCAGGAAGAAGATGAAAAAGGTGGAGTGGGTTGAGACGTAGATGGAGTGGCATGATATGTATCTAGAGTGACCTGAAATGTATATGGAGTGGCCTGAGGTGAAGGTTGAACCACAGGAGTGGGCTAAGCCTCAAGAGTAGATTGTACACCAGCAGTCGATGTCTCTCCCTAACCAGAGGTACCTGTTGTATCCCGACTCGGCTGGCTCCGCACTCATCTAACATATGCGTGTTGAGCAACCTGTCCATGTCTTAATCGGTCAATTCTTTCAGCCATTATGTCTACAAGATATAATATAATTAATCGTACAATGATTTTACGAAATAAGAAAAATTATAAAACAAAAAGAAAAAAAAAACAGACTGAGAAAATTCCAGAGATATATCTCCAAAAAAATCAACGTTTCATATACTCTTGCTCTTTGTTCCATTCCTCTTCAGGAATTAGCATAGATGTTCCATCCTTGTCAGTCTTCACAGGATGTTCCCAGCCAGAGTTTGCAGCTCTCCAAGCCTTGCTGTCTAAGGATTTTAGGAATGCAATCATCCTAGGCTTCCAATAATCATAATTAGAACCATCCAGAATTGGAGGTCTATTAGTGAATCCTACATCTTTATCCATAGTACCATAATTTATTTCCCTAGATCCCACCCAGAATAAACAGGCAGGGTGCCTGCTCTGATGCCAATTGAAATTATGGCTAGCACGCGATGGATGTTAGTACGGATGTTATAACATCCACTGTAACACAGACTATTGAAATAATTAAAAACTGTAAATAGAAAGCATTAAATCACACCAGTAATTGTTTGCCCAGTTCAGTGTCAACAACACCTACATCTGAGGGCTACCAAGCCAGGGAGAAAATTCACTATCAGTAGAATTAATCCAGAGCCAAACAATCCCAGTTTACACTCCTCACTTAAGACCTACCCAATGACACTTCAACCTAGAGACACTCTAGACCTGAGTATTCCAACTCACTCCCCCTCAATCACACCACAGTGATATTCAATTCACAGTTACAAAATAACGATGAAGAAACACTTCATACGCACCTTGATCTTGCTTCAAAGCTTTGATCAAGAATCACACAC